GCGGGTGCGGCCTCCGGTGGTCGTGCTGTAGAGACAGGAGATAGGCTTGTTCTTGCTGCAGCTGCCGCTGGAGCCGCTCGGCCTGCCGGTGCTCCTCCATCTCCCGCCAGCGGCACTCCTTGGGGGGGAGAGGACACACTTAGTGCGTGGCTCCGGCGGCGCGCCCAGCCCGCCCGCAGGGTGGCTTCCTGGAAGACAGGCGCCTCCGCTCCTCTCCTCGGACAGAGCCACGCGGCTGGGCCTACCTGGCACTTCGCCTGCGGGGAACCCTGCCCGCGGGCGCTAACCACAGAACCCCTGCACGGGGTGAGAGACCGCAATTACACGCCGCCTTCGGTGGCTTCGAAGGGTACTTCGAGGGTTCTAGGTAAAAGCCCTACGGCAAGGTGCTTTGGACCTTCTGCTCTCAGTGTTCTAGCTTGTTCACCGAGTGCCAGGTTCTGCTCAAAACCCTGTCTGTCGACCCAACGAGAACAGTTCACCAAGTCACAGGAAACAGACAGATGAACAGAGGCCACCTCGAGATGTGCCCAAAGCGGTGAGACCACGGGGACGTCTCCCCGTGAGCCCGCTGCCCACGGTGCTCTGGTGGTCGGCATGGCCACACCCTGCTCGGGGACCCCCCGCTGCAGCCCGGGACGCGCGCGGGGCGTTACCAGTAGCACGGCCTGCTCCTGGAGCAGCTGCTGCTGAAGGAGTTCCAGGTGCCGCTGCTCCTCTTCCAGCTGCCGCCGGATATACTCCTGTCACACAGAAATCACCCGGCCGGCAAGTCACCCGCAGGGAAGCACCAGGGCCGCCCCAACGGAGCGCCCCAAACCACCGGCCCCGGTGTCTCGGCCCCTCACCGATCCCTTTGGCGGTCAGTAGCTATAAATTCTGCAGCTGAGGGCTTTCCCAAGAACTTCAACTTGGCCTCCGAGATCTAAAGCATGTAATACGTGATGGTATGGACCACCGAGACACCACACGGGGGTGCAAGGCGCCGCACTCCTCCCCGCGAGGACGGCCGGCCCCATGGCGAACGGAGCTGAGTCAGAAGCCAGGCGCTCTCATCCCTCAGTGTCTGCTTGACGGTCACTTGTAAGCAGCGTGAAATGCCAAGTTTTTAAAAACCCAAACCCAAATCCTGCTTAATACTGAACAAAACAAACATGATCTGTGTTTTCTCTGACAACAGAGAAGGTACCTACAGTGACTACACACTGGGAATGCAGACAGACTCCTCCCAAGTGAATGGGCCCAGACTCAGTGTGTGTGTGTGTGTGGGGGGGGTTCGTTCATGAGAGGAGAGAGAAGAAGGCTGGGGTGATGTGTATAAATCTCTGTAACAATGCAAACAGATAAACACATTCAACACACATTACGTAAAGAGGAAAGATCCATCCTCCAAGTCTGACGGACTGGGGCATCAGGAGACACCGACCCACGACAGCAGACTAGTCTCCAACAAGCCCTCGACCCCCATGTTCTCAGTCTCCTCATCTGAGAGGTGAGAATCAAGAACATTCTCTCCAACTCTCCAGACTGTGAGGCTCAAGTGTGAAATACATACGAAAAGTGTGAACACTTTACAAACAAAAGACGTTTCCTTCCTTTTCAACAAGGGGAAACGCACTGCTCTGGAAAGGGAGCAGATTGAAGGGTCTGTTGGGGAAATTTCATTTTGAAGTTCAGATGGTTTCTTCACAGTGTCCACGGCTGATCACCCACTTGGACCACGGTGGACACCTTAAGATAAAGTAGCCAGACATTTGGGCCAGGCAGGAGTTCTAGGTGACCACTTGTTCTGGCTGAGAATGCTGGAGAGCAGACATCACGACATACATGTCCATAGAAACTCTTACTTACAAAGAAAATTTAGCCCAAAAAAGCCAGTGACAGAGCATGTGCTTAGCATGCACGGGGTCCTGGGTTCAACCCCCAGGCCCTCCACTAAAGAAATAACTAAGTAAATAAATAAACCTAAACCTTAACCCCCTAACCCAAAAACTAGAAGAGGAAGAGCTATTTAAAAAAAAAGCCAGTCTGCATAAACTGTTACCTGCAAGGCCACTGGCAGGGGCACCGTGATCCCAAGCCAGACTCCAGGCCCACCATGTAGGCCTAACTCGCCGACACAGTGGCCGCGGCAGAGAGGACCCTGACTCCCACCTCGCCCCTCCCCCGCACCAGGCAGGATGCTTCTCTGCCTTCACATCACAGGGACACCTGGACAGCTCACCCCAGCCCAGATCACAGGGTCTGGGCACAGAGACCACAGTGTCACAAGTGCACAGAGACCCAGCCGAGCAGAAAATGCACGTCCCCACAGCACTGATGCGGGGAGCACCTGGGAATAAAGCGGACTTCTGACGCTATTTTTGTAAAAAGGTGAGAAAACTGGCTGTACACGAAAGCCAACGATTCCATTAGAGCACTGAAGATTAGAACTACATTCACACTCTCTTCTCCCAGACAAATTTCAAGAATTGTCCCTTGGTGACTTAGTTTTTTAAAGTTTGTATGTTTTCTCCTCTTTGTAGTCCCTAAGTATAAGTCACAGTATGAGAGCTAAGCAAAACACACCACAGGCAACTGGCCAGTAATGTCAGTAAAGTAACAGAAAGAGAATCACTTAAATTCCAACAAACAGTGGTAGGCAGACCCAACGCTCGGAAAACCCGAGGCAAATGATCAGTATTAAGGACAGTGGCTGCGTAACCAAATGTGGACGTTAACACCATCGCTTGTAAGCGCTGTAAGTATGAATGTCAGGTGTTACTTAAATTGGTCCCTATTCATATTTTTTTTCCTTTATTCAAAGCTCATAAGAAAGAGTAATCGATTCAAAGACATGAAAGGCAGAGAGCCTGTGACTGGATTCACGAGACGACACAGACGACAAAAAGCACAATTTCTGTTTGCACAGGTGGGTCAGGAAGCACAGCCCTGAAGACCTGACATTGATAACATGCCGTCAGGTGTCACTGAGACCTCATCTTTTGTGGGCCAATGTTATCAGCTGTTGTAACGTTACATATGTACATAATGAATTGTACGCAAACACTTATTACAATATTCAGTTAGTCACTGGATACTTCAAACATTTCTCATAGGAAATGTCTCACAGTTGGTTTTAAATTTCACTTTTAAAAACGGTTAATTATCATCCAGATATTTGAGGTTCAAAGCATTTACGCCAGACCCAAGAAGACACATTCAGAAATCATCATGCTAGTGGAAGACCATGCAGCCGGTTTCCGGAGATTTGAGTGCAGTGAGCTACGGGGCTGTGTGTAAAGACAAGAGTCAACGTGCGGGCCTGCTTCCAACTGCACCCCTGCGTTTTCAAATCTCTGAGTCCTGAACACATGTGTGCGTGCGTGTGCGTTTTCTGGCCCAGACCCCCCAAGTCTGCAAGGACAGACCCCACAGGGTCCCGCCTGGAGCACTGACCTGCTCTCTCTCCACCCTCCGCTTCTCCTCCTCGGCCCGTCTCCGCTCCGCATCCTCCAGACGCCTCTTCTCCTCCTGCTCTCGCCGCCGCTGCTCTCGGTCCTGCTGCCGCCGGGCCTCCCGCTCTCTCCTTTGTTGCTACGTGAGCAAAAGTACCCGGTCAGCAGGCCTCCCACCGCGCTCTCAGGATGCTGCGCTGACAAGGCCGCGTCTGTGGACCCCCCTCCACGGGCCAGTTCTCCCCACGCTGCCCTCGGCCTAAGTACTGGTCAGAGCCCGGCTCTGTTTTGGGGGCAGTTATTCCCCGTGGAACGTAGAGACAGGGGATTTCTTACCCTTGAGCATCACTAACAGTCACCCCGGACCCTTAGGCCAGAAGAAAAAGCAATGACTAGAGGAGAACAGAAGCAGCGCAGGAAGGAGAGGAGCATCTAAAAGGGGGAGAAAGGAAGCACCCACCAGGGAGGGAGGCGCTGCCGTCAACGTGGACAAGGGGCCCGCCATCCTCACCATGGACACAAAGCCACCACCGAGCACGCGCTCCCTGCGGGTCTCGCAGGCCAGGCCAAGCACCTACGTTTCCTTCCCCTAATGTGATTCTCACAGCCACCCCAGGACGCAGGCACGTCACTCCCGTGCCACAAAGGAGGGAATGGGCTCAGAAGAGTGGTGCACCCAGTGTCGCCCAGCTACTAAGCCCCAGGTCACGGGCCTCTGCCTCCACGCTGACCCGGCACCACCTGCACCCCGTCCCCAGGTGAGCCCCGGGCTCGCTCTCACAGCCTCTCCTCTCCCACGGCGCAGAGTGGCGGGTCTCACCCGGCCTCGGACGCCCGCCAGCCAGCAAAGCACGTCCACCACGCGGGGCATAAAATCAGCCGACTCCCCCCGCGACTGAAAAGCGCTGGCCTCAGACCCCCGGTACGGGTTCCCCCTCACCCCACGTTGCTCCTGAGCCCCTGAGCCGGGACAGTTTTTCACATATGGGGAGGAACTGAGCTCTTGGTTCTATTTCACTGACGTTCACTTAAATTTCAACCGTCCTGCGTGGCCAGCACAGCTCTGGAGAAGCCACAGCACCGGACTTCTCAAGACCCAGGAAGCAGTCAGCACCACGGGCCTTTGTGACAGACGTCGGCCAGTAAACCAGCAGTCTGGGGGAAGGCTACAGGGACATCCGACACCAGCGCTGACAAGGGGACTGCAATGGAGGTGGGTCTCCCCGCCCTCAGCCAGCCTATCCTCTGAGGGCAGACACTTTACAGTGATTTCCTGAGAGACGTAAACAAACGTCTTCCACGTGGAAGAGCGGGTTGGAACCCGGCCCTTCGGGTGAGAATTCCAGCACCACTGTTCTCAGTGACGTCTGGAGTCAGCTTCTGGCCCCACCTCCTCTCTTACTCCACAAAATTCTCATTTTGCCCCCCGCCATCGTCTGTTCTTAGAATTCAATGCACAGAACTCCCCCATGTTCCATGGGTGGGGTTGGGTTGTAAAAAAAACTGAGTTCCCATCCTGGTGATTAGAAACTACAACCTGAATGGCTAAGACACCTCTAGTAAATTCTACCTCCTCCCACTGCCCTGGCCCAGCGCTGCTGGTCACCTGCCAGCTTAACGCCTTTAGCTTTTCCTATTTTTAAGACTTAGACTTCCGCGCCCACCCCGTCCTGCCCTGACGCCGCACGGCCTGCGCTCGGGGCCTGTGTGCTGCCCCGCACCCCTCAGACAGACGGCCTCTGCCCTCTAAACACCAGCTCCCAGAAAGTCAGACCCACAAAACCACCCCGCCCCAGGTTACCACGAACAGTATGACCCAGAACTTGAGAGTCACATCCAGGCAGTTCTCTGGGGCCTTTCCTCTTCCAGGCAGACAAAGCTAAGATCTCTTATTTTACACCTTCTGTTTCTTCAATACAGGAGCAAAAAGAACACACTGGTTTTCACCAGCACATCACTTACAATAAACACACAGCTGCTAAGAACACAACCCCATCAGTACAGCATTTAAGTACTAGGTGTATCTATCAGATACACGTGCTCAATTTTTTTTACTGATGGGATGCATGATTAAAACTCTTTTCAGGCCACCGTGTGGTGCTAACCAAGGCCACGTGACCACAGACCTCCCCCAACCACCACAACGGCCTTAGAGACAAGCCCCGCTGCCCTACATATCACGCAGGCCACCGAAAGTCCTTTCAGTTTTAGGAATGATGCTGGAGTGAAGGTGTTGCTTAGCCCCGTGGCATCACACAACGAAAGGAAATCCATGGTTGCACATGAGTTTTCCTCTCTCGTAATTTACAAAATCTTGAAAAATTCTTTAGTTAAAAGCAAAGCCAGTGCCTTGGCCGTTACCAGCAAGGACTCTCCCGGAGAGAGCCAGACAAGGGGAGAGTCTCCAGCTAGAGTCCTGGATGCTGCCATCTGGAAGCCCGGCTGGGTGGCCGCACACCCTGGCAGTCCAGATGCGGGCAAGTATCCCAATCGGCCATTTCCAGAGAAGAAATGGGGAAGTTGCAAAGGAAAAGCAGAGCAGAGGGAACCAGCCCCAGAGCTGGCGTCCATGTGCTGGCCCCACCGATGAACCATGGCCACCCCGGCCACTGCGGGCAGGTCTGCCCCCCTCGTCCCTCTCCTGCTTCCCACGCCGGGCTGTCATCACCCGGAGTCTTGGCGAGCAACAGAATTCCGTGTGCATCCTCTGGTCTCGTGGGCCTGGACCCTGAGTGAAAGCCTGCATTCTCCTGCGAGGCAGTCAGCTCCAACGTGGTGGGACGTGCAGAATCCATTTCTGGGGGTTATTTCCAACTGCATGGAGGGCAGGGCTCCCAGCCCAGTGGGAAATCCTGACTCCATCTAGGTAAATGCTACTAAGAAATTTAAATCTTAAATGCTTTTATGAGTAGCTTTTTCAATTTAATTTGTTTTAAATATTTTAATCAAAGTGCTAGATACTTTAAGAAGTCAAAAAGGATACAAGGTTTCTGTCAAACTTCACTCCCAGCTCTTCCTTCCAAGGCAAAACCACTTTCAATGCTTTCAGCTTTTCCCACAGTATTTACATCCCTATTTTTAAATAATGTACTTACAGAGCTATTTAGATTTCTTTCCACTTTAGACACCATCTATTGACTTCTCCCAAAGAGCAGTCATTGCACCTCACCACCCTACGCCCCCAGTCTAGCCACGTGATAATGTCTGGTTAAACGAAAACCACAATGAAGGCTGAGTCACATACGAGTTAAAACCAAATGTTACTAATTGCCTTACTTTTGTGTGTGTGGCTGGTCTTCTATGGGCCTGTCACTCCATCATCTGTCAAGTTCCTTACACCCCCATCCGTGCAGAGTCCCTCAAGTCCTTCTCTTGTCTTCACACTTGCTCAGGAGACTCCTGGAGGATGTGCTCCAGCAAATAAGGGCGAAGGGCAGGGGCACTGGGAAACCAGGATCCCACTTCACACGAAACAAAATTTTTCTCTTGCTTTACTTTGTTTTTAATTTCTTCCATGTCCACCCACCTCACTAAAACTGTGGGCCCTTTGGCATCTGCAGGCATGCATGTGACCGTGGGTCCTCTCGGTGGGGGAGGTGCTGACGGGTGACACCCACATGTAACCCAACACTGCACAAGTGGGCCCCATGGCCCAGCGACATGTGCCACTCCAGGGCTGAAAACCTGGGCAGCCCATCAAGATGAGAGATGATTTTTTAAAAATACATACAAAAAAATCCTGACGGTGGGTAGTCCTGAAGATCCCATCAGCAGGTCAACAACAAAAAGGGAGAAGCAAGTAGCAGGGAAGGTGACTCAGTGCCACAAGGGAAGTCCTTGGCCGGGTCCACCCGCCAGTGTAAAAGTCTACAGAGCAGAGTTGTCTTTACGACGGGTAAGACGGGGACAGACAGGGAACTGGAGTTTTCCCTTTTTTCTTTTGAAGAAGAGAACCTCAATGCAAAGTCAGACGTCGTCTCCTATGTGTAACTAAAAGGTCATTCACACAGTGATTTTTAATGCACTGTTGTTGTAACGGCACCGGACGTTTGCTAAAAACAATCTTCCTTAAGAAATGTTCTTTTTTTTTAAAATAAAGTAGCAAGCCAAACCATAGACAAATGTCTCTTGCTTGCTTTAACCAATAACCTGACAGTCTCCATGAGGCCAAAACGAAGTACAGATTGGGAGACAGGAATCTTAGATACGCAGGAGGTTCAAATCCATGTCCGAAGTACAGCAGCCACCGTAGTGATCTTAACTTAGAAACGGATGGGTCTTCCCTCTAGGACGTCTTGTGTCATGTTTCTATCAAACTTAGACAAAGAATGAGAAGGCGCTGACCACATCACTGGATGTCACGAGGTGTGGGAGGGGCAGTTAGTAGGTGCCAAGGCAAGATTCAATGGAAAAAGAGCACAAAACCATTCAGCTAAAACGACAACCTGATTGAACAATCTTCATTTTTGCTTCAAAAAAAAACGGAGTAAGAATAGACTGGGAGAAAAAGCTGGCCGGGGTGAGGATATCCTAGCTAGAGGAGAAGCACTGTGTGAGCCGAAGGACAACTTCCGGCGGAGGGAAGGCACTGCCCCATGAGGTGCTGAGTCTGGGTTAGAGCAGGCTGAGAAAGCACTGGGCGTGTCCGGCAGGGGAGCACCGGGAGCCCCGCCGCACACCTGAGGAGCGTGGGAGGGAAGATGAAACCGCTGGGGTGAACCCGGCTGTGAGGCCCCTGCTATCCCCCCTTTCCTCCCAGGACCGTCCATGGGCAACACGGGAAGCGGAAAACAGAAGCGCCATCCTCAGCAAAACCGGGACATAGACCCAACAGTTTCTGCAAGGACTTCCCCCAGTTCACAGGCATCCAGGAAGAGGAAGCAGAGGGAACAAAGGAGAGAGATCCCAGCAGCTGCCAGTTCCAAGGAGCACCAAGGAAGAGGGGAGGGCATCCGTGCGCAGGCGACCTGTCCCAGGCGAAGGGCCCGCGAGGCACAGGGCACTCACCCTCACCGGCAGAGGCTCTGAACCAGGAGTGGGGCGCAGAGACGGTCCTGACTGTGCGGCACTTTCCGAGGAAGGAGCGCCTGCCCGGCTTCCCGCAGCCTCGGCTCAGGGACCTGTCCTCGCCCACCACTGACAGAAAGTTGTCACAGCCCTTCGGGTGGAAGCGCCACTTACCCCGTGAGCGCAGGTGACCACTCTTATCTTTGTGAATAACAAAAGGAATCCCTATTCCCCAAAACTTTAGTGCCAGTAAAGGGTGACAAATCATTCATGGCTCAGATATTCCCAAATTACCTCCTGGGACCTAGGATGCAGGCAATGTTTAATAACCAGGCCCAGTAAAAGGCACTGGGTCACCAAGAATCCAGGCCCGTGGGCTCTGTTCATGCAACACCATTTCAGGACCTGGCTCCATCCTCACTGATTAGGAGGTAAAAAGGTGACTGTGAGTCTGAACTTTTATTGAGAAGCTGGAATTAAAGGGCTGACTGAAAAGAGTCAAGTGCCAAGATCTCACTTAGTTGATGATCCTGATTCTCGCCTGTCCTGAGCTGACAGGACAAATGGCTTTAACCTCAGTTCCTTTCCTTGAGCCATCACTGGCCTAACTCTGGAATCCTCACCGCCTCCCCCCGCTGCCTGCCTGTGTCCAGAGCCTGGATGATGGACACATGCCCCACGGTCACTTGGCCTGCGAACAGCTTCCAGGACCTACATTACAAAGCTCCAGCTGACCCGGCCCTTCGAGTTGTAAGTCACCAAACTAACTGCATCAGGAGACTAAGGAAAGTACAGCCCAGGGTTAGACAGGATGGTGGGAAATACCACATAAAGCAGCAACCAGGGGAAAAAGAAGGTGAAAAAAACAAACTAACGGGGGGAAAAGGCAACTAGAAACAGCCGAAGCCTCAAAACTCAAGCAGCCTCATGTACTAAGTCCAAGTGGTCCACGGACAGCCTGACAAACCCTGGAACCATTCGGGGATTCTGCTGTGTTTGAAGATCACTGAAAACAGCCCTTAAAATATTACAGAAGAGTTTGTAAATAAACTGCAAAGAGGGTTATACACACAGCAGCGCTGCCCTTCCTCGGGGCAGGCTGTGCCCTACGCTCTCCGCCAGCAGCACCGCCGGGCACTTCCAGTCTCCTTGCTGGACGGACAGACACAGTTTCCTAAACTAGGGGCAAGGGGTGAAGCTGTCAGAATTCAGAGTGTAAACACACAAAAACAAAGACTCTCCCCACAAAAGGTGCCCTTAAGTAGCCTGGGGAAAAGCACTGTACCAGTAACACACCTGCCTTTGCTGTTGTTCGGGGTATTTTTCTGGCATTAAAGACAAAGGCGAAACAGTAAGATGCATGAATTAAATAGAAACAAACTATTACGAGTGAGAAACCTGGAGCTGTGAAACACACAGTAAAAGGCAGTCAGAAAAGAAAATCAAAAGAAAACTTTTGAGCCCCAAGTGAACTACAGGGAAATAATGTCGCTGTGAATTAAAAACGAAAAAGCTGTGGGTAACCACGCTACCAACGTCTTTAGTGTTACAAACTGTGCTGCCCCCACACAGATAACTAATCCCACATTAATAACCAGACCACAGAGCAGCATCTGTATTACACCCAACGTCATTCTTTTCTTCAACCCTTCCTCTTGCATGTACCTAAAGTTATCTGAAGAAAAATGGTTTTCCTGTGAAAAAGTCTGAAGTTCCAGAAAAATACGGACACACACACTTGGGCGCAGAGGCCGAGACCGGAAGGGAAGGAGGCCAGGCCTGGGCCGGTCACTTCCGACCCCTGCGGGCAGGGCCTCCGCCGGGCGGGGGGCCGCAGCCTCCAGGCCCCCACCAGCGATGGGAGCCACTGAGGGGCTGGTCCGGGGCATTTTCACAAGCAAGGAAGATGCTCCCAAGGCCTCCTGGACTGTGAAGCCCTGTCGGTGCTGGGGCGCAGGCGTCCCTCAGGGAGTGACCTGGACAACTGAGCCTCGGGAGCCCACAGAAGTCGGCCTTTGGGTGTCCGGCCCCCCGTGCGGAGAGAGAGCAAGGACCCACCCAGACGCCCCCGCTACCTCCTCCAGCCGCCGCCTCTGCTCCTTCTGCTGCTCGATGCGCTTCTGCCTCTCGGCCAGCAGCTGCCGCTTGTACTCCTCCTGCTCCCGGAGCTGCTGCTCCTGCAGGAGCTGCTGCCTCCGCAGGGCCTCCGAGCGCTCCTTGTTCTCCTGCTGCAGCCGCAGGAAGTCCCGACGGAGCGTGGACTCGCCGGGCACGTTGACGATGGAGCTGCAGGGGGATGGGGCTGTCAGGGGTGCGGGGCCGGTGCCCCCTTTCCTACTGTCACCCTCCTGACGAGCTCCCCCTATAAATCCACGGGAATGACCGTCTCGACAATTCAACAGCATCACATCTTGTCTTATCTGTTTCATAAATACCTCAACCCTGTCCCGGATGTTTGACAAGACATCGCTACTGAGGATTCTCACATCAGCTCACACTGTGGACGGGGAAGAGCTGAGGTCGCCTCCTTCTGCACGTCATCGGTCCCTCTCCGACCACCTGACCTCCCATCAGTAAAAGCAGCAGCGAGTTCCAGGTCGGCCGGCACCAGTATCGGAGGAACCTGCCCCTCATCGTCTTCGTCTGGTCCCCCACATCCTGTCACGTTTTCCCTCCCACTCTCCTTTCCAGGGTCAGCGGCTGAGCCCAACTGGGTCCCAGGTATGAGTTGCCATACAGATAAATTAATCAGCATCGCCCTGAGCAGAAAGCTGCTTCTCCGCTCCCCAAACACCCAGAACGCAGCAAATAAGTCTCCCAAGTTGCCTCTTCCATTACATCACACTCCTAACCCCAAACAACAACACCACTCATGAAGTCAGCTCAAACTACGCTAAAACCTTTAGCCCCAGGTGGGCTCAAAT